ACACACACCGTAAGACACACACATGATAACACACACTCACACACATTAACACACACACACACGCGCGAACACACACACACACTGTAAGACACACTTATAAATGTATGATGTTTATAAACTTCATCATTATCAGATATTTATTATGTATTTATGTTATATTTATCACTGGTGTATTATTTCACATTATTATCACATATGAATCATATATTCAACATGTATTTATTGTTTCTCCATCTTAATCACATATAATCATGTTTTGGCCATATATTTATCATATTATGTATTCATCATGTATTTTTCATGTACATTCATCACATATTCATTCTATACAGTATTTAACAAATATCACATATAATCACGTAGTTACAGCTTATTCCTGAACATATATTAACATGTTTATTACTCATTTATATGTGTTATATTATTTTGTGAGTCTTTATCATTATTCAAATCTGTAAAACACTTTGAAGAAAAGAAAATAAATATCTATATATTACAAAAATATATATATTATATAGCTGTAGTATTTATTTATGTAATAGTTATTTTGTGTCACCTAGTAGTCGTATTATTGAAGCTAATACTTAAATACTACAAATAATAATTTAATGAATTTTACACTCAACCAGTTACCTTAATAACTCTTTGTTTGTGTGCGTGTGTGTGTGTGTTTGTGTGCGTGTGTGTGTGTGTGTTTAGCTCTGACGAAGAGAAGGAGAGCAAGAAGAAGCAGGTTCGTCCTCTGTTCAGACACTTCAGACGGATCGACGCCTGTCTGCAGCCCAGAGAGGCTTTCAGAGGCTCCGACGAGAGTACGACACATACACACAGACACGCACACACACACACACACTCACACACACACATAATCACCGGTGAACACACCCTCACAAAGTCTTGCGCACACACTCTTATCTGTAAACACACAGTTGAAATGCAAACACACCTGCAGTCTGTGTTCTCGATATACAAATCACAAACTGACACACTGTTTTTATCCACGATGTAACTTAGCACAAAGACTGGAAGCAGGGGGAAACTGTTAGCCTAGCTACATCACAAGCTAACTAGACTAAGAAGCTAGCTGTAAGCTAAGGAGAGCCAAACTCTAAACCACTGTAAGGAGACCTAGTAACTGTAAGTCAATGGAACCTAGAAGCTAACTCTAAGCTAATAGAACTTCGAAGCTAACTGTAAGCTAATAGAACTTCGAAGCTAACTCTAAGCTAATAGAACTTCAAAGCTAACTGTAAGCTAATAGAACTTCAAAGCTAACTGTAAGCTAATGGAACTTCAAAGCTAACTGTAAGCCAATATAATTGAGTAGCTAACTCTAAGCTAAAATTACCCAATATCTAGTTTTCTTGAAAATGTATTTATTATGAAGACAAGACAAATGCAATGATACTCATTTGTCAGAAATAAAATACATGGTCTTTATAAAATATAAAGCTAACTCTAAATTAATAGAAGCTACGTGCTAAATCTAAACTAACGGGAGCTAGAAGCTAACTGTAATCTAATAGAAACTAGAAGCTAAATCTAAAGTGATAGGACCTAGAAGCTAACTGTAAACTACATCTAATCTAATGGGACCTAGAAGCTAAATCTATTTATATGTAAACTAGCATATTGGTCTGTTATTTTAGGGTGCGGTACCACAAAAGGTCACCAGATGGTGCTACAACATCTCTGTATTGTTTGTGCCTCCAGTCTTCTGCAGGGTCTACACTCCAGATCATTCCTACGTCACCATCAGGAGTCGTCTGTCCTGTCGGGTCGGAGAGATTCTGGCTCTGGTCCGAGAGAAGCTCCAGTACAGCGAGGACCAGCCGGTTCTGCCTGGAAACCTCGTCCTGGTGGCCGTCACATCAGCTGGAGGTCAGGAGACAAACACAGACCACATAAATAAACATGATGTTCAGAATCAGTGCGGTTATGTAACACATTATATATTTTAATGTTGTTTGATGTGTGTTCAGAGAAGGCAGTGTTTCGTCCCAGTGATGAGGCCGTCTTCACCACGCTGGGAGTCAACACTCACCTGTTTGCTTGTGAACCTACTGAGCTCGACTCACTGGTGAGGACTGACTGATTGACTGATTGACTGACTGACTGACTGAGTGACTGATTGACTGATTGACTGACTGACTGACTGAGTGACTGAGTGACTGATTGACTGACTGACTGACTGACTGACTGAGTGACTGATTGACTGATTGACTGACTGACTGACTGAGTGACTGATTGACTGATTGACTGACTGACTGACTGACTAAATCGATTGATTGACTGATCGATTGATTGACTGATTGACTGATTGTCTGACTGACTGACTGGTGATTGATTGATTGATTGGCTGACTGATTGACTGACTGACTGGTGATTGACTGACTGACTGACTGACTGACTGACTGGTGATTGATTGAATGATTGATTGACTGACTGACTGACTGATCAACAAAACAATATAAAAAATGCTTAGGTTTTTTGTTGTATTAATTATCTCATTGGATGAATGATAGAACGATGTAGATAACAATGCACTTTTTTTTAATTAACTGTAAACTTTAATAAAAATAACAAAACAGAAGAAAAGCTTGAAACTAGAAAATGCAACTCAACACCAAAAATGTGCAATTACAGGATTACATGTTTCACTTGTTCCATACTTTGGTAAAAAAACAAACAGTTTTAGAACCTAATGATGTCATTTCCTGCACCGTCAGCTTCCTCTTCCTGAGGAGATCCACTGGACGCCCGGTGACAGCAAACTCCATGACATGTCAGCAGAGGAGGTGGCCAATCAGCTGGTGGTGTTCGACTGGGAGCTCTTCAGCTGTGTGCACGAGGTCAGTACGAAATACTACTAATACTGAAACTGGTTGTTCTGTAACTATGTATATTACTCTGTGACTCCTTAA